GATGGGGGAGCAAGGAGACAAACAAGAACTAGCATTGTGTCTAATTTCTAGTCTCTACACCCTTTAAACTGGGTTTGTTTTATTACAGCAGGTAGTAAAATAACCCCCTCTGGCGGCCATAAAGAAAATTGGGACTGCTGCTGATCATGCATAAGGACCTCACCTTGTCATTATCTTAGAGTAGGAGCTCCCAAATTTTATTTACAGGTTTACAGAGTGCTCAGCACAACAGGGCCTCTTGATTTCAATCTCTATGTACTACTGCAATACAAACAACAGGGTCCGCAGTGTGATGAAAGCAAGGTTAGATGGAGATTACAGATTAGATGAATGTGCCAGGAAGAGCTATGCCAAAACTAAGCTCAAGAAAAGCAAGTGGCCTGTTATCCAAGGAAGATACCACAAGTCCTAAATGAGCTTTCATTCTTATTCTGGCTGTGGGACAAAAGGACATGGCTACTAATTGCCTGATTCTCTCCTCTTCTAGCACGACTAAGTGTCTCTATGTTTACATCTGACCATTGTTTCCTCGTTTTATCCCATTTCCGGACAGCACTGGTTGGCAACAGCAGCCTTGACATGAACAAAGGCAATAAGTCACAATCCCAGCTCATTCTGGACATCTATGAGAAAGATTCCACTGCTGTTTGCACAAGATGTGCTCACCACAAACTCAGGACGGAGTCAGCGCATGAACAAAAGGAAGATTAGACTCTGCACAGTGCTTCAGCAGCATTTTCATATAGCAGAGACCAGATTTTGTACGGCACTTTGAAGATGAAAAACCGTCTGAGAGCTGATTGCTTACGTCAGAGCAGTGATGGGAGGACTGAATATCACTCCCATTTTACAGATGTGGAAACAGAGAGGCAGAGATTTAAGAGACTTGCCCAAGGCTTCAGAATCAATAATTCAAGCTGAAGTTGCTCGGTCTATACATTTATCTACACTTCTTCTTGTTTGCTTTGCATTAGCACTTAGAGCCTCAGTCATGACAGGACCCCAGTGTACTAGGCCCTATACAAACGCAGAACAAAAATGACAGTATCTCCTCTAGAACTTAGTCTAAGTAGACCACGCACACTGTATAAGCAGTTTTAGAAGGAGAAAGAGTCCTTGACCTTTTAATGATGTGCATCTTTCATTTGACTGGAATATGATGTACATGTTCCATTTGTACACTTTCCCACTCCAGCAGAGTCATGAAAACTTGAAAGGGATACTCAAGGTTCAAGTGCTTCTTACTTACTGAAAGAAGCACAGTGACCCTCTGCACACACCGTTTCAAGGGAAGGTTGATCTCCATTAGGATATCAAATCCCATGTACCCAGGCTCTGCAAAGCATAAATGGTAAACTGCAGGAAAAAATCAGTTTAACTTAATAGTGAGTTAAAGCACAGATCAATGTGATTAAAACAGGCACACTCACCGGCCAAAAGGAGGCTTTCAACAACAGGGAGTTTTTACTTTCAAGATTCTTCATCCTCTTTCAAGTCATTTTCGTATTCCCTTGTTTCACTGAGGACGTTCAAGTTTGCACTGTCGCGGGTATCATGGATTGCAATCCGATATATGTGGCCTTTTTTATGCGAAGTTTTTTTGCCCAAAAGTTTCTCACTTCGCAGCCAGTTCTGCCCCACCAGTGTTAGCAATGGTTAGTTACAGTGCTGGAGTAGAAAAGGCCCCATGTAACTAACAGTATTTTAACTACCATTTTATCTAGACCTGCCATAAGCAGAGCTGAACAATGTTGCATGCATGAGATATCACAGACAAGTGAGAGTGTTAAGATACCATATTATTCATGTGCGCGCTGGCCTAACACTACTCCCACTGAAACCACTGGTCAAACTCATATTGACTTCAACAGGAGCAGAATTAGGTTAATGAGGAGTGCTTATGAAAATCCCACCCAGGACTAGAACTGTGAGTTCAATACAGTTTATTACACATTTATAGTATCGGTGTGATGACTAATTACTAATGTCAATAGAAATGTGTATTGCAAAGATACACATTAGTTTTAAGTACCAGCCATTCACTTTAGAACTATCAGAGTTTTTATATGCAGTCACAAATGCTGGAAGGTTTTAGGAGAATGAAGACCTGATTCTGAGCCTGACCTTAACCAGGACTTCCTTGTTCCAGGTACAACTGGTATAGACAGACAGTGGGACATAAATTGCAGGTTCGAACATTTTTTTAAAATATCTAGCCTTCAGCATACAGGGCAGAAAAGCGAAACCCTGAGCAATATGATGGAGAATTACAAACATTAGTCATTAACGCTTGAAATCAGATGTGGACAGAATACATTTCAGGAAGACAAGCCTAAGCCTTTCTGCATTTCCTGGCAGAAGGTGACTTATCTATTGTGTGATACAACAGCCTCAGAATCTCTCAGAGGGAACGCTGCTTGGCAGAGCTTGAAGGGAAAGACAAAGGCAGATTTGCAAACTGTGGAAGGCTGATAGCATTGCGTGTGCTCGCCTGAGCAGGGAATAGGAAGCTCAGCGAGGTGCAGCACAAGCTCAGTCTCGGCAGCACTCATAATCACCAGTCTGGGAGAATCAGTCCATCACTTCCCATTAGCTCACCACACTTCAAGTCTCCAAGTGGAGTCTAGCACAGGCTCTCTTTGATCTTCATTTCACGCACACTCTTTTTCAGTTAGTTTACAGGCCAGGCCACTCTGGTATGGTCTTAGTGAAATTCAGAGCCCAGAAGGGAGGATCCCCAAAAAAATACAAGGTGCATTTTTCTTAGACTCCATATCAGCCAACTGCTTAGAAGAGACCGTTTCCTTTCCCAAGGCTCCAATGTCTTGAGGAGGTACCGCTATTCTGAGATGGCCCATTAGACACCAACAGCTGGCACCACAGCAGACAAGCAAGCGTCTCTGGAGCTCCTTGCAAGTTACCTCTTTTAAAGGTTTGAAAGGATGACTGATCATCATAGCTAAGCTTTGAATTTTACTCCCTCCAAACAGAAACTGATCAGACCCCATTTATTTGCTCCTCTGGATTTTTAACAAATCCTCCCATTATGGCTACATCCCAGCAGACTTGCTTCGAAGACAAGCCCACTTAATCCTGTCTAGGTTCTTACACTGCCCTAAGCACTCTGGTATCTGTGTGCTACTTAGCCTCAGATGAAAAGCAATGGAGGCCAAACAGCTCCTGGATCCCTGGCAAACACCGCTAAGATGCCAACGCTCATTTTAATAAAGAATCATTAATGCAGTTATAGCATGGGAGCAAAGAACCCCAAATGTACAGTCAATGGCTTGTGGCATTCTCAGATTGCAGTCACGCTATCCCAGGCAATCTGCCATTTATTCAGCATGCCCAGCTGCCTACTGTCGAAAGCCTCAGAATGCACGAACAGTAGGTTCTTTTGAAATCCTTAAAATCAAATGGGCGGAGAACCACGAGGTGGTGCTATTCATCCACCTCTGTTGTGAATAGTCACTAGCTGGTCAACAGTAATACCACTGGACAGTGAACTTGCTCATTCAACTGGTATCATAGTATTTGAAAGACACATCAGTAAAGGGACAAAGGCCAAAGTGTAGCTGATTGTCAGCAGCCATCATTTCCTTCACTGTAGTGTTGACAGCATCAACCTCCCCCAAAGCCATCTTCCACAGGCTTCTCTAGGCTGCAAACTCCAATGTTCCCTGCACAGCTCTTGCTCTGTGTGTAGCTGCTTTGAAATTCCAAATACACAGTACAACATGCTAAGCCTTTCCACGGTGCTTTTGTATGCTGCTGAGTGGTTGGCCTTGAAGGCTGATGGTCAAATAGATTCCCTGCTCACTTTACTCAGAGTGATCCTAGCTAAGGCCTTGTCTACACTAATGTAATTTGGCATGCAACTGTGTAGCAGTACTGAAGTGACAACAGGAGACAAACCTTAAATCAAATGGCCTGGCTCGAGTGGACCCAGTGCACAGGAGATATTTAGTCTGGCAGTCTAGCACAAGTTCAATTACCAAGTTCACTTCTGTCTTGTAGACACAGCCCTAGGTCAATAAAACTACTTGTGTGAACAGGACTGAATCCTTCTTGCCCTGACCGATCAAAGAGGTAACAGTTCAAGATCTGTAAGTTTTTAGGAGTCAGTCTCAGAGCATTTATGAACTCTCTCAGAGGCTAGATTCACATAATGTATAAAATCAAACCCAGTTCAGGTATTCATCACATCCATGATTCTCTGAAATCTTGCATGAACCAAATAGCAGATTTCATAGAAGAGAACATTCTTTTTAAAAAATGTTCTTATTTCTATGGCAGAGGCTCCTGTGGCCTGGTTAGTGAGATCGCTGAGCACATAAATCTGTGCTTAACTCACTGTTCATTTCTACTTAGTAGTTCACCTTTAAATAAAGGACTCAGACCACATGTGAAATGTTGTCCAAAACTGTTCTTAAAACAAATAAAACTTTAAAAAGCCGGATTTAGCGTTGGTCTTTCATCAAATTTACAGTTCAACATGAATCTTTATGTGCTAGCTGCTCCCCTCCCCCTTGGCACTCCCACCAACTTCCTCCCTCCTTCACCATCACCTTTAAACCCAGCCACGGCCCAGGGGAGCTCACATCACAGTCACTAACCTCCAGACAAGAATGTGTGTGATCCCAACTACACACACATGAATGACACCACTTAGCTGCCCGAGGGTTCCATGTCAGGGATGAGGTATGCCACTATGATGTTCTTTCGCACCAGCCCATTTTCACAGTGACACCGCAGTCAAAATATTAGGATACTATCTATCTTTGGATTACCCCACAGTATCCATTTATTTGAGTAACAATCCGCTTCACTTTTGTTAGCGAGACCACCTGCACTAAACAACCTATTTTGTATTATCCCTAAAGTGATCATTTAAATCAGGTTTCACTGTATTGAAGACAAAAAGAGGCCCACACAGAGGGGATGGTATTTCCTAGGCTTCTAAAATTGTGTAGTCCCTTCAGGAGATTGACACCGCTCTATTCCATTTCTCTTTGCTTTATTGTAATGCTCTTTTAAAAGAGAACACTGCAGTTCAAGTCCAGTACCACTCCATAGAACAAGGAATATTGTTCACTGAAATTGCCATTCCCGTGAACTTCACATAACACATAAGGAAAATTAAAGATACAGTACCCTCCTCATTTACCAAATTTCTGCTGGCACAAAAATGGCTCTAGAAGAGGTCATTCTAGGTCATTACAATCCAACACTAGTAATGAGCATTAGATTCCACTTCTTTACTTTTATTTCAGCTCTAGATTGCACAAATCCTCCTTGGGCCGGGATTTTAAAATTAGATCACTTACAAAGGCAATAGGGATACTGACATACTTTCGTTGATTGCTATTGTGACCTCAAGAAGGGGCACTGCATCTTTAAATCTTATTTCCTGGATTAGAATACAAAGGAGGTTTCATTCACACTTATTAAATTATTGCACAGATTATTACACTGAAATACATTATCTACCTGCGGAATGTTACAATGTTTGGAGTGGGGAAAAAAGCAGCAGCATTATCATACAGATCAAGAATTAAGGAGAGTTGGCCAAAGATTTCTTGAAATTTACTCACTAGTGACAGGCTTCAAGACAAAATGAAAGCAACATTTCAAAATTCTAAATGCTAGAAACAGAAGATCCAGTTTCTGGTTTGGGAACACTCAAGAACTAAGATGTTTTGCTCCTTCGCAAATAGCACCGAGTTTGAACGCCCTAGAAGTTCTGTGCTGAAATCTGCCATTGATGAGATCCACCAGTTTAAATGAAATGGAGATTGAAACACTGGGAAGGCTAACCTTGGTGATGCAGTATCCAATAGAAAACTTCTCCAGTCACCGTTTCCCTAGCATCCATCTCCCCTTCATTGTTTTTTTTAAACAATTTTTTTTTTCATGCTAGTGAAAGGTGCAAGGCAGAGTTCTGAAAACAAAAGTCCCGTTTATCCACAACACAGGCACGGCATACTGTGGCACTACAGGCTTGCATACCCTGAGAATCTGTCTCAAACTCCGTGCTGGGCCATATCTATGCAGCTGAGGCTCCACCATTCGGTTATTGGTAGGTCAAGAACATAGCAGTGCCAGCTGCGAGGGTGCCTTTGAGGATAAGAAAATATTCCCACTAAGAACTGGGCTTTGACACCGCCCTCCCACAACTGAACGGCTTTCAAATGGCAGTGGCTTCCTATCCAACTAGTAGCTAATAAACTAAAACCAAGGAGAACAAAAATTGGCCAAAGGAAATGCCCTAGTTTCACCCTCCTCTCAGCTCTCCTCAAAGACATGCTAGACCGTTTGGATTCCGATCAAAATCATTTTTGATTCAGGAGTGCTAAAATGAATGGGAACTGCATGCACTTGGATTGAGCAACAGGCCCAAAGTTTTACTGATCCATCTGTATCTTTCACCACAATGTTACTTTTTAACCACCTTGCAGTACCTCTCTGGAAGTGTAAGGGTATCTTAGGACTCCCCACAACAGTGCAAAGGAGGAAGCTATTCCTTCACTTTCTCCTGGATTGGAAGAATACCCCTGTCACACAGTTGTACCCAGTCAGGGCACTGATTTTCACTACGTTCGAGTAGAGGCCTAAAAAACTATGTTGAGCCAATCTTAGCTGCAAGTGTGATGTAAACAATTCCCTATTAGGCAAACCACAAAAGTGGGGAGAACAGGGACAATAGTATATGCACAAATAATTTTTACATAGATCGCTCAACCTATTTCAGGAGGCTGGTGAAAAAAGACAGTAATAAAATAGTATACAGGAAGCTGAATCAGCTTCACATCACATTAGACAAAACTTCAGAAGTCAGGCAACCCAGCTAATCAGGTGCATTTTGCTGTCACTTCTACTGCAACACTTCACAAAAGATAATTGCTAGTCAAAGTCTGGGCAATACCACTTCACATACAAATTACACAGCATGGCCTGCGAAGTACATGCATTTGTTTCAAACTGGGCAGTTGACAAGTGAAAGGAAGAACAAGTAACAGAAGCGTAAGCATAAAATACAAGAATCGTTACATGTTTAACATGCAGTCAAGCCATGACAACAATATCTCTGAAACAGAAGAGCAGAAATTCCAGTAAAACCACTCGTATGGATTCTGGCTGTAAATATTCTTGAAAATGGCGCTACTACCACAAGAAGCATTGGAGTCTTAGATCTTGCTGTGCTGCTGCCATTTTAAAAAGGGTCATTCGGCAACTAGGATTCCTTAGTGTGACACACAAAGCCTTGAATTAGTCTGGCACAAGCAAACTCCGGATAATTACTAGCACTGCATAAAGTACTCAGGTTAGGTGTGGGTCTCAACATATCACTAAAAGGTTACTGAAGGGGCACTAAATCAAGAGAAAACCATTGAGATAAAGGATGGGGAAGCAGCATGTAAGATCAGAAAAATATTCAGTTGATAATTAGAAAGACAATAGTGATGGAAATACAAGAAATAATCCTGCAAGATCAAAATTTCTCCATAATATCAATACAGATGTTACTACTTAGACTATAAATGGAGAAACCATTAATACTTTTGGGTAATTCATGATTTTTTTTTTTCTGGCTGCTGAAGACAGTTCATTTATGGCCAATATCCACTGGTTAAATTTGAACCTTCTCCATGGTGAATGACAGAAACTGAGCAATAGCTGAGACAGAAAACTTATCAAATGATCAGCATCAGCTATCATTTGGTCAGCTTGTCAATACAAAGATATTCTTACTCTCTGAAGGTTCACAAATAACGTCTACGATACAGAATTCCACACTGGTGTCTGAAGTATTATCCAATGGCACCATGATTTGAAGTTTTCAAGTGACTTCTAACTACAGTAGTCACTTATATTGTATATTTACAACATTATATCCCAGTAACAATAAAAAAAATAGAGCTACACCCCACCCACAGCAGACAGATACTTAACATAAGACACCTTCGTTAAAGGAAACATCTGAATTCCTCTATTTTAGTTTTCCATATTCAAAGATTATGGGTTTATAAATTGTGAAGAGAAGGTAAAAAAAAATCAAAGTTCAGACCTGACTAGAGCCTCTGAAATTTTTTTTTTTTTTTTTATATATAAAGGTATTGGGGAAATTGTGGAGGAAAAGGTGGTTTAAACAATTATAGAATTGTTTCTATTTGACAAACTAAAGAGAAGATTAGCTTAATCAATCTGCCGAATTTAAGTTTCACTGTTAAACCCAGAGTTCTATTCATCTCAAAATTAGCTTGTCTCTATCTTTAACAATGTTTTGTTTTCACTCTCTTCTCCCATTTTATCTTGCTGTTGCTGGATTTTTCCAAAGTTTCATTGCTGTTGTGGTTAACACATGCTGATAAAAGCTCAAGCAGAAGAGGAGAAAACTTTCATTTTAACAAAAACATAGCAGATGAAATTAGGAATCTGGAAGGAAGAAAGCTAAAGAGAGGAAGACACTTCTTAATGGTTAAAGGGAAAAATACCACAACTCCGCATGATACACCTGCAGAAAATCTGCACTGTGTACATCCCTAAATCAAAGGGCAAGAAGAAGAAGTGGTGCCATTCTGAACACTCCTATATGGTCAGGCTGACAAAACGGTGAGTTACATACTAACAATTATCTAGCTCTAGTTTTTTGCTCATCTAGGAATTCTCTCTATAAGGAAAAAAAAGGTTTAAAAAAAGTTCTCAAACCTTGCAAAGTTTAAAAATACAGCTTCAATAAAAAGGGTCTTAATGGCCATTTTTAACTGCCAGATTTAATGCAGTCCCAGCAGTAGAGAGAGGCATTTAAACTGGTACTTATTCAACTGCAGTTCACTCGTTCAATTGCTGGCTATCTGTTGAAGATATATCCCCGCCTTTCCCGGCATCACCCCACCCCACATGTTCTCTAGAACTTCATTAGAAGTTAGGAATACTGGAGGGGCAATCTTAAGAAACTACTCATGCAGTATTGTGCCATGAAAACATGCTTGCACTGATTTGTTCCTCTGAATTCTCATGTTAAGAGCTTAGCATACCCGGCTCCAATAGCGCTATGGTGAGGAGAATATATCTATTACTATCCTTTACAGCGGGACAGCCATATCTTCACATGGTCATGATGAGACTGAGACACTTTGTTTTTCTAAACTGGAACAAAAGAAAGGAGAATGAAGGGGAAGCAAAAGGTAACAGGTCAATAAGGACAACCATGTTAATCCAGTTGTGTGTGAAACTTTTTTCATCAGACAGCATGGACTCCTTCCTTCGCCATGCGAAGCAGGGTTACAGAGTCCTACCAGTTCTGGTTATCCCACCCATCATCAGCTGCTGAAGACACTTTTGTCATTTTCTTGGGGGATTTTTTGGTCTTGCTCTCCCCTCCTGCATTTTCCCAGTTGGTCTCCCAGTTTTCCCAGCTATCGCTGTTACTGTTCTTGTTGTTGGAGACCGTCCCCGAACCCCAGACGTCCCAGCTATCAGAGCTCTTCTTCTCTGTGGAATTATCCACGTAGGTCCAACTGTCACTGCTTGGGGATTTATGAGCCTTGGGTGGGTCCGAGTTGCCAAATGTTTCCCAGAAGCTTTGATCTACAGCATTGTTCTGGTAGCCCTCTCCTCCACTGTTCTGATAGCTGTCTCCCTCAGGTGGTCTTTAAAGCAAAAAAGAACAGATGGGGGAAAATATCAGCTTTTGTACCACTCATCTCACATTACTGAATTAATAAATCTGCTTAAGAGTAAACCTTCACCTCCAGCTCCTACTAAGCTTGTCTGTCATCACCTTAAAAATCAGGTTTCAGAGTAACAGCTGTGTTAGTCTGTATTCGCAAAAAGAAAAGGAGTACTTGTGGCACCTTAGAGACTAACCAATTTATTTGAGCATGAGAAGTGAGCTGTAGCTCACGAAAGCTCATGCTCAAATAAATTGGTTAGTCTCTAAGGTGCCGCAAGTCCTCCTTTTCTTTTTTCTTAAAAATTAGGTATTTCTGCAGGGAAAAAATGGTATTTCTGCATTTAATTTTACAGCTGAGACACTAACCAACAAGAACAGACAAAACAGTAGTGCCAGTATCCTTTGCTCAAAGCAACTTGGAGATGACAAAGATGAGCAAGGCAGAAGAACTTGAATATATTTAGAATGGAGTCTGCCTTGGGTTTTAATTTCCAGATTTAGCTGGTTTGGGTAAGCACCCTGAAAATATAAAAAAGATGATGTATTCCATGTGAATTGGTATGAATTAAAAAAAAGTTACATTCAGAGTTATTTTGTTCTCAATGCAAGACCCAGAGCTGATGGCCAGCTAAATTAAATTAAATTGTATTTGTGTGCCCCATATTACCTGTTTATTATATTAAATGTTATTTGTGTGCCTCTATAGTACATATATATTACTTTTGAAAACCAGTGAAAATTTGATGAAAGAAAAATGTTTCTTCCTACTAAAATTAAAGACACTAGTATTGCTGAGGAAAAGTTTTCCCTGCTACTTTTAAATTATAGGGAAAACACAGGCTATATCTTGACATACTTTATGAGTCCATGTATTTTAGAGAGAAGAAAAACAAACAAAAAGATAGTACCTTTCAGAAAGATCATCTGATTTGCTGGAAAAGAAAGTGGTGACGTCCCGCCATCCCTTACTGCCTACCCCCTGAACCTGGAAAAAAAGAACCAAGTTATTTCACACTTAATGAATTACCTCGTACTTGGACTGAGCTCACCCATTTGTTCTAATAAAGACTGCTACCCAAAATCCACAATGCACCACTGTCAAAACCCAATGCCCCCTCCCCACAGGGAGTCCCCCGGGAAGGCAGAACAGCACAGTATATGGCTAACGCTGTTGCAAGCATCGCAAATCATTTTGGGGAGGGTCAAAGGTGTGTGAGTGGAGAGTGGATGTTTCCTCTGCAGAATACGAGAGGCCGGGGGGAGAAAGAAGAAGAGCAGAGAACGGGTTAACTCAACACTTCAGCTAGCTCCGTGCGAAGATAAGATACTGGCCCCAGCCCAAGGTCATGGGCTCGACAAGAAATCAGCAGCTGCCCAGCCATGAGAAGAGGAGAACTAAGTTGAGCAGAACTGCAGAGATAGCAGCGAGAACAGTGAGAGCAAATGAGACCGCGACAGCGAAGGCCAACAGAAGGGAAAAAAAAGGTCTCTGGAGCCAGGATGTTTTGGGAAACCGAGAAGGCCACAGCAAGCTGGTTTGGACTGGCACAAAGAACACCAGAAGCCGAGGTCCCTGAGAGGAATACCCCCAAGGAGCCCAGGACTTAAAACCCTCGAGAGCTGGAGCAACTTGGAGAGCAACAGCAGACTTGAACGGCCTGGGCCCAGGACAGCACTCTCGTCCATCCTTCCCCCCGCCTCTTCTTCTGATGTTATACCCAGGCCTGGCCAGTCTTGGGTAGTGCGTATGTGAGCATGAAAGTGGGTTAGGGCTTGGGGCATTAACGCTTTCTTTCTTCCCCTAAGTGACGTGCGAGCATTCCCAGCACTCGCTGCTGTTATTATTTTATCAATAAAGCTTTAAAACTTAGACACTTGGTGTGTTACGTCATCTCCTCCTTTAATGATCCTGTGGCATCAGCCTGATCACCCGACGCCCCAGACAAATTGGTAACTTAAATCTGTCACACCACCACAGAACACACCCCCGTGCATATGAAGGCATGTATTTAAAGCAGCCTCACAACATTCGACTCACCCACTCAGGAGGCCAGTATGGCAATTAAAATAGGATATCTTTTGTCATCATCATGGCAAGTCATTGTTATGTCTAGGCTATTAAGTTTTCATTATGATTTTGCAAGGTCGATGAAAGAAACATTGACTGGACAGTGCTTAACAAGTGAGCAATTAACAACGTCAACAAAAAGGATGCAACCAGGACTTACTTTATTCACCTGATTTTTGGTAGTGACAGCTTTTGACTTTTACTTTAGATATTTCTGATGAAAATGTTGGAATTGCTCAGAGCAGGAAGGGGCACCTGATTCTCCATTGCACTGGATTTTGTGATGTCATTGTGAAAATGCAAAACGTTACCGTTTAGAATGGTAATATTTTCCATCCACTTTACACTAGTGTGAATGGCAGCATAAAGTACTGGGCAACAGACTCAGACCCCATGTTTTTAGCCCCAGACTCCAAGTTGGTATGCCAACTTTTGTGCATAAATGGTGTGCTCCCTGAAAAGTGGTAAAGCACCAGTTTTGCATGCATCTATAGCCGTTCTGGTCATTAGTTGGGGAGCTAGCCACACACTCACCAATCTGTTTTACTGTAGATTTTGTAAATCAGCAAGAATAAAAGTGAGGGACTTGATGGATATTTAGTAACATACATTAATAAACAGGTATAAGAAACTAGGCACATGGCTAGAGCTACATAAAGATCTTCACAAGCAAGAAAATACTGGAACAGATCTAACTTGATATCCTTAGATTATGAAGCCCTGTCTAGAATTTTTAAACCATTATGAAATTTAATACTGTTTAACAAGGCTTGTGTCCATGCTAAGCAAATTTTAAACCAAATATAGTTCTAGAATGGTATTTGGATGCTAAGTAATTTTGAATGTGATTTATCAAATTACCATAAACTAGGAGCCACATTCTGATCTCGATTACCCTGATGTAAATCCACAGTTAATCCAAAGACATTGATGTTTAACTAAATTCCGGATCTGCTGCAGGGTCTGACTTTATTTGCACAGCAATACTGTAAATATACTTAAGTGGTTTCACCAACAGTTTCCAAAAACAATTTCATTTTAGTGCTCATGTGGACAGGCCAAAAGTTAATTTCTTGAATGTTACTGTTGGAGGAATTCCAAAACACATTTTCCTTCTGTTAGGCTGAGATCATAAGCACAACCAATGAAATGGCATCAATAATGAGCACTATTCTGAAATCCAAATACACCAATTCAGGCTCTGTGTACGCTGGGGCAAATTGCCAGACTTTGAGCAAAACTGACAAGACATTAATTCACTTTTTTGTTGAAGCATTCCATCATTCCCATCCTTTCAAGCAGGAAAAACTCCTGGCACGGTGACTTCCAATATTAACTTTAACTGTTGTCAACAGTTAGGACATCAACAGCACTAGGCAATGCTGTGCAAATTACTGAAATAGAGTGTTATAAAATGTTGCAAGTGTTCTGAAACTAGCAGTAGTAGGGAGCACTTACCATATTACCAAGCAATGTCAGCATAATGGGAAAAAGGTACATACATTAATAAGGTTAATAAGTGTACATATTTTATTTAAGCTGTCTCCATATTCTTTAGCACACATTTACTGTCAAACATCTGGGTCACTGACTATTACAAATCCACATTTCGCTGTCAGTGTAAGCATTATTCAGATGCTACTAAGATCTGATTAATGTACCTGTAGCTATTTACACTCAGTTTGTCTGTGTATCAAGCTATTTTATTATGACAATGGCATAAGCAATCTTGTGTTTAAAATATCCTTTTCCCAGATTACTTGTATTGGCTACAGATAATAGCAAAAAGCACAAACACACACATCTTATGGATTTTGTTTTATAAGACACTTATCACTTGTGTTTGTGTGACCTGTGCACATGAAAGAATATGGAGACTGGCTTAGTATCTGGCCTCCTAATGGGTAGGCAGGCCCCTTCGTACCTTGGTGGCCAGATGAGATACCCCCATGGAAAACTCATCAAGCATTTTTCCCTCTTTCACCTAGAGGGATCAAAATGTCCGTAGTTAGTCACGAAACAAAATGGTGTCTATAGCTTAAAACAGGACAGCTTGTGGTAACAGCTGGAGACAAAAGTTAAAACCAAGCTAAAGTATATTTGACTCAACAGACAATGAGGTTAAGAAAATAAAATGTGAAGTCTGCTGCTACTAACAAGCTAATCCTCAGCTTTTAACCGTTAGTGGGACTCTTTCAATTGACTTATTTGGGCTTTGGATTGGCACGATTACAGGACACTTGAGAATTGGGGGGAAGAGTGGGGGCGGGAAAAACACACCATACAGATAAAAAACATATTGCATGGCCATTTACAAAGAATATGTTTTACTGCATAAAATGGTATTCTGGAGAGACTGAAAACAAGGCAACTATAAGAATGATATGTTTTTACCATTTACACAAATTTAGTGGAAACCTTACAAAAACCTTCATATCCTTGCCTCCTGGTCATTTGGAGCACACTGGAATTTAGTTTCTCAGCTGGTATAAAACAATCATCCCAATACAAAAGTCTACAAGTGACCTGATATAGTTACACATGGGCCAGACTGTCACTGGCTGCTGTCAATTATGTAATTCTAGAAGACAGTTTATTCTAAATAAAATTAACAAAGCATTGCCCAAGGGCAGTTTGCCATTATTCACCTTACCTAATGCACAACATCCTTCACTACAGTAGCCTTCCAAAACATGGAAGTCAGCTACAGGAAAAGCACCCTAAGAAAATGTACTGGCTGCAATATACTTTGTATTATAAATTACCCTATTTGCATCTATACCAGCTCAACCGAAACAAAAATCTTGATAAGATTCTATTCTGGAAATGATTCAGGATCACATTAGATAGTGGAAAACTCCACATAAAAAAAAGACAATGTAATGAGTGTGTGATACAAGAGGACTGATTTACCTGGGTGATAGGCTTAATTTTTTCAAATCAGACATGAATCCATATTCTACAGTGCTGGTACTATGTTCCCCCATGAAACAAAAATTAATGTTTTTAATTAACAGTAAAAATAAGTATGTTTAGGAAAAGATTTATAGGTAAGTGGATCATCACATTCTCATACATGAAGGGCTAATTATACAAATTTTAGGATTGCTCCAAAATGTGTAGACGTACAGGATATATTAAATGCACGTCACCTGGGAAAAAGATATAAAAACTGTGTTCCACAAGAACAGGGAAGACAATATTTGACCTATTATGGAGACTCTATGATTAAAATAGGTAAAATTAGCCAGGACCACTCACTCAGAATGGTGAGAGACCTTAGAGACTAACCAATAAGGTGCCACAAGTACTCCTTTTCTTTTTGCGAATACAGACTAACACGGCTGTTACTCTGAAACCTGTCAGAATGGCTGCTAAGCTTTCTTTTTTTGCCAGCTGGATTACCTGGAAAGCACACATAGCATTCATTCCTGTATCTACAGCTAAAGTGTAAATAACTATACATGTGAGGAGACAGGCTTTCCATCCTGCTTTTGATCCTTTAAAACTATATTCTAAATTCCAGTAAACAATATAGCAATAATTTCAGAAGTGACACTAACAGTTAATCTTTTCCTAGTAAAATGACTGAATAGGATAAAGGTCGAGTATGTTCTGTTTTATGAATACATATAATCCTTGAGATTAGCTGATTAAGGCAAGGATCTAAAAAAAAAATCAAGAACATATTTCTTTTAAAAACTGCAATCAATTAGAAACCACATTACTGATCAGATTATATTAACCCTTATGTAGCTGTGGATGTTCTGATATGCCTTCAAGATGCTTATTTGAAAGGGAACAGTACTAGCAGTCAGAGAAGCATGACTACTATGAAATTAAACGCTCACTAAGGTAATATTACTAATCAAAATATTTGCTTATCACTGACCTCTCTAGCCAATTAAGAGGTGCCATGAGGGGCTCTGAATGGAGTTCCAGCCACTCTTCCATCACATGAAGGAAGATGGTTGTACAGGGCAGCTCATGGGAAGGAGAACAAAGCAAGAGAAAATGCGGATCTCTCAGGATTGATTTGGACATGAAGCCCGTCAAAATGAGGACAATTTTGCCACTTGAACATTTTTTTGGTAATATTAATATTGAATTATTTGGCATTTTCCCTCTGCTATTGTTCCAGGATATGTAAAATAAGTGAACTTGCTGGCAATAAACTAACTACTTGTGCCAGGAAAAAACAAAATTACTTCCTAGGTAACACAAAAATACTCTGTACGTAATTTACTCATTTCCAAAGTTACCTTTTCCTGTGCAGGTTTGAGAACATTTTCATTTAAAGTCTGACCTAACTCTGATGCCTATTTAAAAGCAAAACAAAAGTAAAGTCAGTTATATTTTCCTTCATAAAATACAGCCAACATTCACTGCCAAGAAACTAGCCTCCAGGAGGCTCAAAGAACATAGGTCAGAAAAGCCTTAAGCTTTGCCTCATATAAGCAACATAGTGAGCTAAAAGCACACACAATGCAACACTACAGAGAAAGTGCTAGAAGAAAAAGAAAAACACAAATAAAAGGCAATAAAGGCTGCTGAAAGTTCCCACAGCCCAAGAAAGGTCTGTCCTTGAGCTGGCACAACCTTTCAACCAGCAACAGCCCAGAAGGCAGGCCTCTTGCTAAGCCATGAGCTTTAGTAAATATTTTGAAAAACTGAGCAACTGTACCCTTACACGTTCTTGTTAATGGGATTACCAGCAGAAACAGGCCTTTACATCAGGAAAGAATATTAATTCTTTCACAATGAAATACTCCCTTCCTCTGATGCAGGCAATGTCATCTATTAATAATTTCCCTGTTTCTAGGCAATACACCACAGTCATACCCATGTGAAAGGATGATTACACTATTTTATGGCTTAAGCTTTTCTCTCTGCTGAGATGTGCAGACATTCTAGGAGGAAAACTGTAATTATATCTAGGACAGATGCACAAGGCTGTTGTACTTTAGAGAGGAGGTTTACAGATTGCAAATCCACACTGTAAGAGTGAGGAAGTCACAAATGAGTTTGGTAGGACAATATTAAAAGGACAGAGTGACTTGGAGTTTTTCATAACTTAAAATTATTCCTTTTCTCACTGTCCATAATAAAACAATCTTTAACCAACCATTGGGAGACAAGTACACTACACTGATTAGTTCTTGAAGAGCTGCTTATGTGCTAAGATGCTGCCATTTATTCTCTTCATAAACAAATATTTGCAAAACCCAAAACACAAAAATCCCCACAGAATTAGAATCAGCATATTTTATGCCTATTAACTCAGACATTGTCCAATTTATGGTCATAAAAAGGTATAATTAACTATGGTTAGTGATCAAAGAATATCAAATATGATGCTTAAGGGAGTAATGGATCACTGCAGATATCAGGGAGGACCCTTTTGTACAGTAACAGGACTGCACAATTTTGCAGATGGGTACAGAAAGGGGCAGTGGGTGACATGGTTTTGTCTTCTTTTGAAACACTGGGTATTGGCCACTGTGAAAGACAGGATATCAAGCTTGACAAAGCTATGGTGTGATCCAGCAACAAACACTATATTCCTTCTGTGGGGCTCTCTTACTAAATTCTGGCTTCAAATGGCACTCCAAAGCTATTTGGTATATACATCATTCCTGAATTCCACATGCAGAAGGAGAAACTGACACCATTAACATTTGCAGGTAGCATGGCTTGCTGTACAGAATGTTCTCTAACATACCAGAGGGCAGAACTGGCTCTTTTTAACTAATTTAACCTATTTTAAATAGGCTTGAAGAGACATTACAGAATGATGCACACAACACTATTAAAAAAATGACTGACTTAAAAAAAAGGAAATGAAAAACGACAGCTCAAGAGCAAACACACATATTCAGCACGAACAGTGACAAAGCGCCCATGCATGTGAATATATGTGAGGGCTTTACCGGCTCTGGCTGCTGCTTGTAGCCCCAAAACTTTACCCAGACAGCACAAGAGAAAGAGAGCAAGGAAGGTAGAAGAAGCAGCTTTTAGCAAAAAAATTGAAGCATTTTTCAGGCAAGTTAAGTAGCATGATTCTTTTCCAATTCCAGGCTCTACTGACAAGAGAAATAATGAGCAGAAGTCTGTTTAATGTCCACTGGCTAAACTTAATTACAAAATACATGGACACCACAGTTCAGAGTCAGCCAGATTCTAAATGTGTGCTATAAAGCAACAGATCAGGTTGTTAATTAGCAAATTTGAGCTACCATTAATATGGCTCAGGAGCTGAAGAAGAACAATCTGCTAAAGTGCTTGTCAGTAGAGCTGATCTTCTACATTTAGTTCTCTATATTATAAAGATGCACACCCACACTAAATGTAACAGTATATAAAGAATAGGTTTCAAAATGGGAAATCATACGTAGAGGAAGACCTGTATAACATTAAACTTTTCTCATTCAAGCCAAGCGATAAATATCTTATTGCTTTTAGCTAGGGTTAAAGTTGAAGTCCTTCTGAGTGACATTTTCTTTGTTAATCCTTCAAAAACATATACATTTTAGCCTATAATGTGAGATAGTGACGTACGAACCTGTAACACTCCCCGCTGACCACCAAGCCTTCCCATGCCTTTCCCAACCCTGTTTTGAACAATATCCCATGAAACTCAGGCTAATGCTGTACACACACGAATCACAGTTCAAGAGCAAGACTCTTTCATGTACTATACATAATGCCCTTCCAACCCAAAACAAAACATTCAGATTTTGGCACTTAATTAATCATATCCCTTGGGTAATTCAAAGAGTAAAGCCAGATTTTTGCTTTCCAGTTTAGGATTTTCAAAAATGTTCCACAAAAAACAGACCATGTTTATGTCAGAGCTGTGGGCAATTCAGGTCTGACTGTCCCCGCTTTAATCCTAGTAAACTAACGAAATATTTGTATATCTGTAATTGTTGTCTGTTTACACATAAGCATCTTAACTCAACAATATTATTCAATGTGCTGTTATTTTCAATTCATGCAATGGAATGAGCACATGCATTCTATTAAAACACCTACTTATAGACCACACACAAAAATGAGAAGCTTATACTTTAAGGAGAAACCATCCTTAAGTGTCTCGAAAACACAACCACCACAATATTGTATGGCATCAAACCATTCATTCATTCAAACTGTTTAATTTCAATAGCAAATAATTACACCCATTATTTATGTGTACTGTAAAAATGTCACAATCCCTGTGGGAATAAAACCTAATATGTAGTTTTTAAGAGACAAGATCCTAGCATATAGTTATACAGATGCAAATATGCAGCACTGAGGATACACACCATAGTTTCACAAGGACCAGATCCAAGACATCTTGTATAAAGAGAATTGGTAGGGATTCCTAATAGGCCTGATTACTGTAAATGACACAGAGCTACTAGTTTTAATCACCTTTTGAGTTGCTTGAGATCCAAATTTGGTAGCCTGTAAAATGGAGAGAAAAAAAATCATTTGTTTAGATCAACTTCATTTTTTCCCCCCTAACAGACAGACATGGTGAGTGAAATCCTGGTCCCAGCTGAAACCAATGGGAGTTTTGATGTTGACTTCAATGGTGCCCAGGATTTCACGCTCTATTTCTTAGAACATGTTTAGCTGTAAAGAAAGTACAATCCTTACATCCTTCTTTGAATGTATCAACTGTATACAGAAGTGAACAAAAACTGGGATTTTTTAAAAAAAACATTTTCACAAAAGTTTCTCCCCTCATTTATTTTTTAAATATTGAAATATTGACTAGCTCTAATTGTAAGTCTATAATACTTATATAATCCCCAAGACATAGCTATAAAATGATTTGCCAAAAGGGGGCATAAAGACAGGGGAAACACTGTAGCCTAGTTTTGCCAGAAACTCCCTCTCACAACTCAGAATTCTAGATACCTCACCGCCATCTTTCCCTGATGTGCTTTCTGAGTAAATCAGTCTGACTTTATAGATCAGAGTAAGTCTACTGAACTAAAAAACTGAAACACAAAGCAACCGACCAAATCAACAATGTATAGCTCAGTGTGAAATTTCTGCAGAAAACACTAACTTGGCTTGACTCAGCACTAATCCACACCCTTGCCCCAGAAAACAAAACTCCTTTAAAAAAAAATGGTAAATAAATATTATTCTTCTCTTGATATCTATGCGCAGTGCTCCAATTATTTACAGAAATGCCTACCAAAGCTGTGTATGCATATCCAAAAATAAATAAGTGGAAAATACAGGAAGTAGGACCAATGTCCAAAATATGAAATTCTCATGAATCCATAGAAGAGGCCTACAGCAGATGAGAAGAGCACAAACTGAGGTGTGGCGTGGTTTGTCAAGAGTTGCTGGCACTAGATGGTAAATTACATTTAATTCTGTGGTGGGATGACTGAAAGTTTGGATGTATAAGGCTTTGGTAGCTTGATTCTAGAGGCTCCTAGTCAGGCACCTACCTCCGGCAGCTATTTCCCCTTCAATGGCCAACTTAGTATGGCTGAAAGCTGAAAAACTCTGCTGAAAGACGGAGATCCCATGAGATGGTGGTGAGAGAATGAGGACAAGTTTTAGGCCCTTTGATCTTGTAGTGGTGGGAAAAGGGGAGACACGGCTGGAACATGTTTATAAGGTGGTGGTCACATGGTTGATATTTGATATGGTGTGGGACAACAAGGACCCCTACACTTTGATTCAGGCTGTTGAGTGCAAAGTCAAAGGGATCACAGCTCATGATTTAATCATTACCATTAGTGAAAAATTATGCACACCAAAGAAGGCAGAGACTCCCAAGGATAGAACAAATGCCTTAAGATATTTTTAGCTCTCAACCACTCGTCTGTCAGTCCTCAAACTCTAAAAACCTCTTCTTTGTTCTACTTCATTCTATCTGCTTTAATTTCAGAATGTAATACTGCAATACTAAGTATATATATATAAAGTATACTGCTCATCACCATAGTTCTGAAAGAACAACAAAACACAAGCCCGTCACTGCAAAACAAAAATCACAGCAGAATATAGCTTTATAGATTCTGGTCAAAAGAACAGCATGCCAACATCTGGAAAAAGGTATGCTAGAGCTCAAAAGGGAAAGGAATGGAACATAAGCACACCTGTGAACATGATTATGCCTCCATAATGTTCACTTTTCATTGTAAATTTAGATCTAGAGTCCCAAGTGTAGTTTTTAGAAACTGAACTAAAAAAACCTGCATAGCTTCTTACGCACTATGCACATAAATCTGCCTATGAAAACTTGTACCAAAGACCATGCTCAGCTTTGCTTATACTTAGTACATAAACATTTCCATTTTTTAAAATAATACATATAGGAAGGAGGGGGACACAGAAGTCAGGGGTTCAACTTACAATATGGAGCATTTATTATTTATTTCAAGATAAATCCCTGTCAAGAGGCCAAATAGAGCTAACAGAATACTTAGACCACTGCAACAATAAGACTGAAAAATTTTCTTGGTTACTTACACCCTCTTTAGCTGCTGAGGCAAACTTGCTGGCTCCAGTTGTAAAACTGCTCCATCCCTTTAAAAAAAAAAGGGGGGGGGGAGGAGGAGGAAGTGACTAAGCTTAATTTAACATGTAATAGTGAAACAAAGTCAATATATTCTGTAGCACACCCTGTTTTGTAACCATAAGAGATGCCCACAAATTGAGACAGATTTGTTTGTGGCAAAGTTCCACTGAACTGTAAAAAATACTGCAATGACTTTCCCTTGTTCTCTTGTGCATTCCCATAGTACAAACCCTGATGATAATGACGGTAACACGAACAATCCTGAACATGGGTTATTCTAGTGGAGAAAACTTCACAATGCTTTTGTTTCTCTCTAAATACAAACATTTTCACAATGATAGCAAGAGAAGACAAAATGTTGGTAGAGCCCGAATAAGTACAGGACACGGCAAGAATAGTTTGCATTTTGTGAAAGTTAACATCTGGGGGAAAGGGCAAAGGGCAGAGTGAAACTTAGGTATAAGCCTGGAAGAAGGTGAAAAGGGAGCCAAGGGCCAGTGCATTCAAACAAAACAAAACAAAAAAAAATTAAGGGGCTCATAAGAAGCAGATGCAGATACATTATTGATTTTTTCCTTGTTTATAAGAAAGCTTAAAACAATTTCTAGTTGGTTTTTTTGGGCCTTATAAATACCAGGAATATAAAGCCTTGTTTTGCCTGTTTTTTTTCTAGAGATCTCCATCAAGTTCAGGAAACTCAATCAGTAGTTTTCTCAACCCTTAGTTAATGTAATAGGGTGTGGAATCTATAATGAAGATTTTTTCCTCATGGTTTTTTTGGTCAGGAATTTAATAAGGAGCTACCAAGAAAAAAGGTGACAGTTTAACCATTCTCATTAAACTTTCTTTCTCTATCTATTGTTCAGCTTGCAGTTCCTTGATACTTGTGATATAATACGATTAGTTACCCAATCATGCAGAAACTTTCAATAAAAACATGAAGACAAGATTTGAATTTCTAATGTAAAAACAAACAAACAGAAAAAATCTTTGGCATACTTTTCAGGCCTTCTTTATACACATTGTAAAGAAACAAGGAAGGGAAGGGACACAGACAGATTTTTTTCCTTTGCAGGCCACCTGCAAATAAATTTGTTAAGCTATGGAGCTGCACTACTTCAGTACTACTTAACAACAGCTGCATGGATCAGATATACCCCTATAACTGCCCCATATAGTATGCCAATTTTGAAGCACAGATATTCCAGTGGTACATGGACATTTGTGAGCATCTCTGCAAAAAAGCTGAAAATAATACAAGAAAAGATCAGGGTGCTTTGCTCATCATGCTTTCCACTGAATTTAGCTAGTCCATAAAAGAAGTTGGAGGGTCTGTACTCAACAGTCCCTTTAAATACTCCAGTAAAATCCCTTCATTAGTAGTCTCATCTTGCTGTGTTTCATTCTGATAAAAGGAATGACAGTGATGGTGCTGATGTGCAAATGGCAAGATTTCTTGTAATTCTGATGTTAAAAGTAGGCTCGCGGGACAACAGACAACCTAAACTGAAATTCCAGACGCTCTTTATAGAGCAGGTTCGATAACTATTTCTCTCATCTCAGCCTAATCAGCATCAACTATACAGCAAATTCCTCTCATACATTATAAAGAAAATTGTTTTCCTCAATCAGATGAGAATTCAAGCAAATTATAAACTTCAACCACAGGTGTTTATGTTAACATAAAGGTGTTTAAGCTGCAGTTTGTGTGTTTAGTCACAAGAGGGCATTTTAGTCACTAGTTTCAATCAGATCACATTTGAATAATGTCTGACAAAGATTTAGATCAGTGGCTCTCAACCTTTCCAGAATACTGTACCCCTTTCAGGAGTCTGATTTGTCTTGTGTACCCCCAAGTTCCACCTCACTTAAAAACTCCTTGCTTACAAAATCAGACATAAAAATATAAAAGTGTCACAGCATCCTATTATTGAAAAATTGCTGACTTTCTCATTTTTACCATATAATTTATAAATCAATTGGAAAATAAATATTGTACTTACATGTCAGTATATAGAGCAGTATAAACAAGTCTGTATAAAATTTCAGTTTGTACTGACTTTGCTAGTGCTTTTTATGTAGCTCGTTGTAAAACTAGGCAAATATCCAGATGTGTTGATGTACCCCCTGGAAGACCTCTATGTATCCCCAGGGGTATGCATACCCCTGGTTGAGAACCACTGATTTAGATGATACAGCAGTATTTTACTATAAAAAAACCTGAGAGGTACGTAAGGCATGTGCTTGTGAATTGTGCCAATTATAGAATTTGATATGTAATGTGAATACTAAACATTTTTTCACCCATTTGTGAACACCTTTTCCAATGACCCCCACCCTTCTTTAGAATCCTGTGCCATATGGAACTTCTACCCCATTCCTTCCCCATATTTGAAAGTACAAAACTGTATTTGAAGGGTTGTGTTCAGATGAATGCAGATGTAAGTCTGAATGCCTCTACACTAGGTCACGATGCTGTAATGAAATATTGCATTCACCATGCAATAAACTCTAGGAAGCAAAACACCTAGGCATGTGTCAAATATGAGAGCTGCAAACCCAAGGAAACCTTCCAGACCCGCTAGAATTATCTCTGATGGGATCGTCAGGTCACAGAGAAGAAAGTAGGAGCACAAAAAAGCAGCCACAGGGGATGGGGCAGGGAGGTTTGTTGGTTTCACTTAAAGATGTAACCCATTCAGGAGTTCCATGAAATACATATAAAGTCTGAGCAAACTGACTTTTGCATGTTCTTAATGCAGAAAGTAACCATTTGCAATGGGTATTTGACTTCTATGGCTGAGGGGAGACTGACACCGAGAGAGTGTTGGAGGGAAAGGGAATAAGGATATTACATACTCTTACAAATATGAGCAATCCCTAAAGGAAAATCCAAATCTCCCCACATTTTTCCTTAAATCAGGTATCACCAAACTGTCTATTTATACTCCCGTCACCCATCACTAGGACATCTCTTGCCCGTGGTAAACAGTTCACTACTTGTAGTTGCACATTCCTTGGCAACAGTAGAGTGGTCAATTCTTTTAGTGTTAAGATGTTTGGAATCCTTTTAGGACTGTCTCCACCTGTCTTTTGGACCAGCATTTTAGGCTTAATGTGTTGGAGGAGTCAGGACTTTTGATCAGATTGCTTTGAGAAGACACAGAAGTGTCAATAACAGAAATATGCAATGTTCCCCAGATGCACCTGTATTGCATATTTCCCTGTTACAGCTATTAATTTTCTCTCTATTCATATTCCCATAATCTGGGCTACAAATTGAGGAACACACTGCTAAGAGTCACAGAAAGCTCAGAGAAAGAATCTCCTTACCGAGTATAGCGAAGACATGGCATTATTGAGGAAGTCGTCATCCTTTTTCGGAGGGTTGACTGTGTTCCCAAATCCCACATAGCGATTCTCTTGGCCACTAAATCACACACCATCAGAAAACAACGGTAATTATACATTTCATTAAAACTATCAGACTGAAAATATAAATTATAAGATACGGCTGAATTTTTGCTTCTTTGTTTTAAAGATTTTCATACACATGGAAGTAAAGGACTGGTAGAATTTCCATCAGCAGTGGAGGTAAACTGTGTGCATGACTCCCCCATACAGCTCCACTTTTGCACCTTATTTCTAACATGTAAGAACACCACTAGACAATTATGTAAAGCTAGTGAATGTGTACTGCAGACAAGAAAGCCTCCTTGCACATTTTATCATCTCAATAAATCTTCTCCTGTGGTATAACAGATCAGTTAGTTTCTTCAGAGCTGTGGTCTCTTTTTGCATACAACTCATTGCATTAACTGAAGAACCTAGTGGTAGCATTATTAAATACCTGAATTTCACACACTTTGCTCTAGGCTATTGAATCTGAAAGCTTCATAGACCAGGAGGCCACCATGGTGATAAAACTACTGTCTATATTTGACTCATGAGCCTCAGCTTCACTGCACATCAAACCTTTCCTTGATACATAGGAAAGAAAAGACCCTTTTTAATGCTTTTATATCCAATCCTTTGACATGTATTATCACTTATTTATTTAGGATGTGACCATAGTCTATTATGGCCCAATGGATTAACAGAGGCATATGTAAACTGACGGAAAATAATAAGGCCCTAGTCTAGGGTATTCTGAAGGGCTATGACACACAATGGTTGATATAGAAGTGTCTAATTTAATAAACATTCCTTGCAAGTCAAATAACTTTACCCTTGATAGGAGCTGAAATCATCATTTAACCAGTCTTCAAAAGCTTTGTCGGAAGAGCCAGCTGCATTCTGGGATGGTCCAGCAGAACTAATCAAATGAAGGATTTTTAGGAAGTTAAACTACATGAAGCATAAAGAAACAAATGACTTTGCTCATCACAGAAGCTTGTACCGAAGACAGATCAGAATTTTACATCCATCAGGTGACAGCATCTGAGTATCTTAACTTGTGGAGAAAGAAAGCTGCAGACAAGTCCACAAACAATGGTCTTCAGACCACTTTTAGTTTGCTAGCACTTGTTGGTTATTGTAGAACTTACCAATCACAAGTTCCTGGTTCTCCTTGTTTCTAGTTCCTTGTACAGGTAATCCTGGCTCTTTATTGTCAAGAAGAACCAGAAGCACCTGAAAGCAAGATATGCTTCTACCAGGGATCCAGAAACAACAGAGTAAGAGAAACATGGATACCTTCAGGGACTGGAGCCACCAGCTAGAATAGAGCTGACAGCCATGAAAGGGAGAGGGCTATTAGGGGTGAAAGTGGCAGAGGGGACCAGGTGTCTGACCATGACTGAGGGGAGATGGTGCATACAGCCACAGTGAAGTGTATCCAGGGAAGAAAGGGGAGACAAAGAATGGGACAGAAGAAAAAACAAAAATAGGCAAGACATTTGCTGTATTCTGGACAGCTACAATACACTAAAGGCTTTCCTATTTTGAATGTAAGGAAATACTGCAGTAGCCAATTGGGAAATTATGCAAGTACAAGTAGGAGAGACTGTAGCTAGTATAATTACAATCTGTATTAAGATGTGGTCCACACTGAAGAAAGTTTAGATACCACTGCTGTAGGCCAAGGAACCTGAAGCTTGCCCAAATTCTTTGCTAAAAGATACACCAGAAAAAGATTCAGCGGGGAGGACAGGGTGGTCAAACTAATATGCCATCACTTCCTATCCAAAGTCAGAGATAGCGAGATCAAACTGTATGAGATAGCGAGATCAAACTGTATGAGATAGCGAGATCAAACTGTATGAGAACTGGGTAACTAGAATACAGACCGATGAGCTGAAGACAGGGCCATCTTGGGCTGAGGTGGAGTCCAGTTTCTGGCAGTAGAAGTTTCAAGAGACCATTCCTTGCCCTCAGCTAAAGTAGCCACCTAAAGAGGGGAGAAAGTGTTAAGAACCTGGTAAGGTCCTCATTTTCAAGTAAAATAAAAATGTAGAAGTAACCTTCAATAGAGTGTCAACAATCAGTTGGAGCAGCCACAGAAGCAGGCAAAGTAGGGATTGCTGCATGGGACAGAGGGTAAAATGGTGTTTCGCTCATGCTGCTCCCCCTCCGAGCATTCCCAGATCCAGAGCCTTGCAAGGAAGACCTCCTTCATAGTGGGGACAGTAGCATCCAGGTGGTGACTCCCTCTCAGATGGTCTTGGGGAAAAACTGCTGGGAGGAACCAACCAGCCAATGACAGCAACTGCAGAGGCAGCCAAAGCAGGGCTGTGGCCATTCAGAGGTTTTCCTACAGTTTTGCCTGGACTTTTCCCCAACTGTTTCCTGCAAAGTTCTCCCTTGTGTTCCCCTTCACCTTAGGTTCCATAGTTGCCCAACTTACCTTCTTCTTCCCTGTCCTGATAGAGACCTGTCCATCCCAGCTCCCCAAAATAGTAAAGATCTAAGGACTACAGTATGAGAAACCAGGCAACTTTAAGCTATTGAGACGTTCCCTCTTTTAGCTGCAGAGTGTCCCAGACCAGCAATTCATAAGTGGCACAACTACACCTCTCTGGGCAAACCAATTTCAAAACTGTGTAAGCGCTCTAGCCAGTGTAGAATGTAGCTCCTCAATTTAGTGGTGCAGGCCAGCATAAATGCACAACCCCTGCGTGTTCAAGTCTCTGCAATTTCCAGGTACGTATTTGAATTCTGAGGGGTTTTATTTTGAGAAATTGCACAAAGCCTCCTTTTGGAATGATATTTCCAGTGCAAGCATGGATTTTGCTGCTCTTTATGGTTCCACTTGCTCTTGGCAGAGTAATCTGCCATTTTGCATCCACCAAAAAAGAAGTGCTGGCAATTAAGTGGGCCCTTTGCGTACAACAATCTGATGCAATAACAAGCTGACTCTCAGCTGGTGTAAACTGGCATAGATCCCTTACCTTCAACTGAGCTACAACAAATTACACCACTGATAATCTGGCAACCATGGCCAAAAAAAACCCAACGACATTAATGAAAATTTCTAGAGAACAAGCTTTTTGCAGATTACAGAACTGCAAGTCTTATCCTCTCTCAGGAGCTGCAACAGGTTTTTACAAAGATGTTCCAAGATTTAATAAGTGTTTGTCAAGTGCTTTGAGATTTTCAAATGGGAGGCATTAAGGACGCACAAGTTATTATTCATCTACGTTTACCTTATCTCTAAAGAGAGCTGCAGCTTTGCTGTTGTATTTCTCCTGCATTGACCAGCAGGGATCATAATCCTCCTGAGACTCCAGAAATTCTCGAAATTTACCATTACCACCCGCCTTCATCTTCTCCAGCTCAATGTCTTTCCATTTGTCCATAGTGACAGAGCGTACAAAGCTGGAAATCAGAATTAGAGAGGAAACACCTCACTTTTTATTTATTGCTATAATCCCATTATAATATTATACCATAAAACAAAATTAAAACACCTCAGTGGCAGCTATGCCAAAAATTAAGCCTTTAGAAGTGCCACTGATAGCAGTTGCACTTTTACTGAGATTGCTTCCTACCCTGCAGGGAGGAAAAGCACTATAGCGAAAAAGCCTTATGAGTTTTCCGTTGGAAAAAAAAATTTGAATAGTGAGTTCCACTTAAAAAGGAGATAAACAGTCTGTACAAATGAAACAAAATGTACGTATCCTAACCCAAATTCTGAATTGCCTGTCAAAATCACGTCACAGAAAATATTTTCCAGACATTTTCCAAACTGTTTGCTACTCTTTATCACCACTTATCCCTCAGGAGTGCACTTAGAATGAACTTCAGGTACTCAAGTCATCTGTCTTATACCTAAAATAACCTCATCCAAGGGCATTTATGACTGGGATTAGTGTCCCTCAGCTTTGCTTTGGGCCACAAATTAGTGCTGCTGCTCATTATTCCACATGAAAAACAAATAGGCCCCAATTGTTAATGCTTAAATATTCCATCAAAGAAAAGGTAAAAGATCTCCTCTTCACCAAGGCCCTACAAAACTTTGCTCCATCTACATCTCTATGCTTATTTCCTCTTATCCTCTCTTGATCCTTATCCATCTCACATCTCCCTTTGTCTCTGTGCTTCATACCTTCTTTCATGTAGCAGTTGGAATAGTTTCCACTTCTTATTCACTAACACTCTGGACTCCCTATTCACCTTCAAACCATCCTTTTAAAAACCACTTCTAAGTGTCTTCCTGGTATTAGTGTTCTCATTCCTGAATTCTCCTTTCCCTCCCTTATCTGAATAATTGTTCCATATTCTACCTCTCTGTATTAGATTTAGACCCAGGACCATACACGTGCGTCTGTGTTGGAAGGGGTAGAGGTTGTTTTGTTCTTTGGCTCATTTTAGAAGAACATAAAAGCACTTTGTGTACTCGACAGGAACCTCGATAAACAACATACATTCTATGTTCTGTAATGCACTATGTACATTTATAGCACTACATACATGCTTTATAGTAGTATTACGATAGTTTTAAAATTGAAATAAGACAATCTGGTACCACTAGAGTTCTTTAGCTTACAAGAACAGACAAATTTAAAGTAGGATACAACATGAACAACTGACAGGACTAGAGATCTCCTAAATCTCTCCATAACATTAAATTTGGTTCATGGAGAGGTAACATACTGCCGTAACCTAACTTTATCATATGTGTACTTATAATACTAACTCATTTTTGGTTTCTAGATTCCACAGTGGATTAGCAATACGTCATATTCTGATTTTCAAAATTCTAGATTTGCTGTTCTACTGAAGAATGGCAAACTTGCATCTCCACAGCTATATCAAAAAAAAATACTCCTTGCAATAACTTCCATTTTTTTCCCCTGAAGAGAAAATTGTAAATCTGGTCTGTGTTTGTTCCCAAGACTGACCTGAGGTGAACTCCCAAGCCTCTGTGTTTTCCTGAGCATTCCAGACAGATCCAGATTCCATAGGTCACACTCACCCATTGGGGGTTAAACGCACCACACTCAAAACAGACCTATAAGAGAAAAAATATTGTCCATAACTCTCAGTCATCATTTGTTCCAGGTAAAACTTTCAAAGTACGGCCACAGAAAATCATAAAAAAGCTACTCACAGCAAATAAATTCAGAATTAGGAGTTGTTAGTGTTTAAAGACTTCTTCCTCATGTATATAACTTCTATTAGGTAGTCATTTAGAAAGTGCCTGGAGGGTTTAATGTTTTATAGGCAGAACCATTCATGTTAACTGACTCAGACTAGAGAAATACAAGCTAAACTGATGTTTCTATCTCTAGAAAGACTGAATTAAACACTCTATCCCGCAGGGCACCATATAAATATATTATGAAATAACTTTGTTTCACATGTCCATAAAGAACAAAACATACATAATCAAAATTTATGCTTTTTTGGATTGTTTTGAGGGGGAGAAAACAGTCCAACAGGTAAAGAATAAGGTGGAATTAGTTTTATGTCACGGAGAAAAAGTTAGGACTGAATTAATGTTCCAGTGATCTGACCATCTGACAGCAGTCACAAACATAATTGCAACTAGCATGGTTCTAGCACCAATCCAGGGAGGCATTTAAAAAAAAACAAACAAACATACTTGTGTATTGGGCAGCTTCTGTTCTTCTATAGCAGGGATTCTAAATATAGTTTGTCATCATGTCATGTCGGGGCAACTGATTGAAAGTTTCAAATATAATTACAAATCCCTAGGGTGTACAGGAGGACTTCAAAGGCAGATTACCATAAATATGGTAGCATATTGACAAGATTATTTTGTTTGCATTAGAGTATAAACATAAGATGCTTTAAATAGAAAGTTCCTATTCTTAAAATATGTAACAATGTCCCAAAACAAAATTATCTGAGGGATTGGCTGACAAACCACCAATGGTTTACTGAATCACTGGAACCACCCAAAGAAGTTATGCCCAATGCTTGACAGTATTGTAATACAATTTAATGAAAGTATATACATATCCACATCTGTACCTTAAAATTGACTGGCTATGCTAATACCATTAATTAAATCTTCAGAGAACAAATTCAGTTGTCTGAAATGGGCTGAAAAGTATTTGTTGCTGCTTAATTAAATATATATATATATATATATATATATAGACCTTCTTACATTGTTCTCATCTTGCACTCTGACTTCTTTAAGAACTTTCCTTGTTCTTGGACTTGCCATGTTTCTATAATGGGGGAAACACAATTTTAAAGACTTTAAATCAACTTACATATTAAGTGCTGATCAAATGCTCGGCACTTGTACAAGATGCAAAGACTATCCCTGCAGCAAAGAGTTTACAATCTAAAATTTTTGAAGAGGCACAGTCAATTGTGTATTTGTTCCTTGTTACAAGAAACACTTATGATTAATAAAAGGGGTACTTGTGGCACCTTGGAGACTAACAAATTTATTAGAGCATAAGCTTTCGTGAGCTACAGCTCACTTCATCGGATGCATGAAGTGAGCGGTAGCTCACGAAAGCTTATGCTCTAATAAATTTGTTAGTCTCCAAGGTGCCACAAGTACCCCTTTTCTTTTTACAGATACAGACTAACACGGCTGCTACTCTGAAACTTATGATTAATATAACACATTTAAGGAAAAATATGTATTTTTCAATTTACTGTGTGCATTTGGCACTTTGCATCGTCAGTTACAGTTGCTGTTTTATGTATCAATGGAATATCACTAGTGAAGAGCTTGCAGGGGGCTCAGGTGCCTGCTCTTCCATAGCTCTATAAGAATATGGTTAGCAGCAGCAGATTCAAAACCTGAACATTTACACAGTAATACGTCGGCAGGCATACACATACAAATGTAGCGGGTGGCAGGAGAGGCAACCCAAAACACTTTTGATTATGTTGCTGTCAAGTCCACCCACTCCCCCTGCTTAAATACCCTTATAAACCCTAACCAGGGTCCCAGCAAAGGAGCAGAAACCCTTATAAAATGTAAATTTAAAAATTCTGTACATGCTATTTAAAGGGCACTCTAAGAAAGTTGCTTTTTATGAAAAATAATTTTGAAAAAGGTTGACAGTTTCCCTTAAAAATATATTTTAAGGAATACATTCTGATTATTGTAAGTTTTTATGTAAAATATACTTTAAGCTCTGATCAGTTCTGCAATACTGTACTACAGACTTGACAATTTGCAAGTGGCATGAAAAGTAACAACTGCTAAAGTGCATGAAGCGAAGTTATACTACAGATTTTAGGATATACATTCAGCAAGGAACCTGGATTTACATGTAGTACATTTATCTGAAGCACTGACAGACACTAAACACATTCTGATAAATGGGATTGCAACCTACATACAATTTACTTGTTTAGGATGTAGGGTGAAATATAACAATTTGGATAAGTGGAAATTATTCAAAGCTTATCATAAATAGGGTTTTATGGTATTTATTTTGCTGTACTTTAAACACTACCAGCTCTTTTTTCCTAATTCTTCACACCCCAAGCTTTTCCCTACCAAAAAAAGCTATTTGAACGTCCAAAATTCACTAATAAATAGACATAGAAATGTCAGGCTGACCTAGGAGCAATGCAGAGCACTACATTCAGAATACAAGAGGGACTAGGAAAAAAGCAGAAAAGAATGGGTCAGTGTTTGAACCTATTAAAAAAAAAAAATCAAAGACTCATTTCAAATTTGAAGGTCTTTGAATGAAGAAAAGGGCATTGCCTCAGCTGTCTGTGACACTTCCATATTACTGTTTTTGAGAAGCGTGGTTTAGTGGACTACACACAGGCCTGAGGCAGCTCTAATTATGTTTTTTTACTCTCACTTAATGCGTGCCTTTAAGCAAATAGCTAAATCCTTTCCTCCTCTTCTGCAAAATGAGAAGAATACTACTTATTCAATTCACCAATTTATTGAGGGAGTTAATATTCACAACACTTTAAGGTGTAAATGACTATGTAAGTGCTAAGTACCATTCCAAAACACAGACATGTCCACAACTGGAGAAAGTCAAACCAATTTCCAACCTTCACATTGTGTTTTTCCCCCTGTAAAAATCCCTTAAATCTTTAATTTGTGCCATCCCTGCCATACAGATTTAGAGTAAACACTAACCTGGACCATCTTTCCTGTGAATTACAACACTAACATGCAGTGCTACAGCAAAGCTGTGCAAGGCCAAGGGCTGGTATCCAAATACCAGCTCTCTCAGTGTAATTCATGAAAAAATAAATACAAAATTGCTACACATCATCACTGTTGAAAGACGAGGTTATTTATATCTTTGAAGGATTTCAGTCTATATTAGGTATTCCTTTTAATTCATGGCCATTGAAAATAATGCAATAAAGGATGTAATATTTGTATAGCGGTGTTTATTTTCATGCCATTTGGAGGACAATCTTCTGTTTTTAAACTTATACTCGTCATCTAGCATTTGTTCTTTTTTAATCATTAATCAGATCATCATTAGTTATTCTTTGTTGAGCCAAGAAAGATTACCCACTCTACAGGCTTTTCTGTTTAAAAATATAAGAGTGTTATTAGGTTACATTGTAATTAATGCTTGATGAAGCACAATATTTCAGCTGCCCTTTCTCAAACTTAAATTTATTCAATTTTTTGATGTTGTTGGTTCATTAATCAGGACAGAAACAGCTTTTATGTCTTGTATAATGTAAAAAGAATGACAAGTAATCTTTTTTCCGACTGCACTATTTTTCCAATGGGATTCTGAAACTAAAGTTTCTCTTATATACCTTGCTCACATCCATTTGAAGAAGGAAATATATTGATATATATTTTTGACCATAATCTAGTCAAAAACTGCAGCAAATAAGCTTCCATGGATCTGATGTACAGGGCTCCATTTTCTCTTTTGTCAGTGGTGGGAAGGGGGGGAACCTCCCTCGTTCCATTACACACACATTTCAAACTGGACAGGGAGAAGAGATTAAAATGTTTCAGGTCTTTTATTTCTGAATTTAAATATTAATCTAATTAACAGTGGTAATCTGTTGGTAGATAATGAGGGTGGGGAATATATTTAGTTACATCATTTTCTTCTGTTCTCTTTCAACTCTGCCTCCACTCTCTTTTAAAGGGTTGTTATTTCAAATTTGCAGAATGGTGCATAGGTATGTGATATAGTCTCTCTCTGGTGTTATTTGCCTGCCCTCCTTCTCCCTCATCTAGAAATGCTAGAGTAGGTTTTCATTCAGAATAGTGGGGAAAAGAGACAGGGGCTGTCTACTCCAATCAGAAAACCTTCTAGCCTTACTGGCCAGAGATCTAAACAGACGGCCCATTCTGGAAATTAGGCTCCTCCTCTGGCCACGATACACTGTGGTTCTGGTGGAGGAGGAAGAGTCTGAAGCAAGTCTTTTGGCCTAGACTTGCACTGGTTAAGGAGGGAGAGATCTGACTGCCCTGCTCAATACACTTTGCTTCTGCTCCCCTACCCCTTCCTCCATGGTGCTCATCAGCGCTGCGTGATGGGGGAGGTTGAAAAAAACGAAGTCAGGCTGCGAAGCTGCTCTCCCCCTACCCACAAGGCTCCATCTGGCTGGCAAAACACAGAGGACTCAAGTGGAGAAGGAACTTAAGTTCCTGATTCAGATGACATAGCTGTAAAGTGGGATTCCATTACTCAAGAAAGCATTACAGGGGTAGTTATAAAGCTGTGACTCCCATGATCACAGCAACTTTACAGTGCTATGAAAGTCATGAATCTTCACAGCACCTCTGTGAGGTAGACAAAAATATCCATTGTACAGGTAGGGAAAGGGAGGCAGAGAGAGGTTAAGTGAATTACCCAGAGCTAACGAGAGACCTATTGAACCAGGATTAGAATTCAGAAGTCCCTGGCTCCTAGTTTTGTGCTCAGACTATGTCTCTCTCCAGTATTCTTTACTAGTAGTCCTCTAAATCCCAAGTCATCTAGTCCCCCCAATGTTTATTTTCTATGTGAATGTGATTCAATTATGGGTTCATCTATTCCAAGCATCACACAGTCATTAAAGTCAACCTAGAAATACAGCAGAACCCTGTTTATTCTACCCTCCATTACCCAACAATCTTTATACAGACAACAAGAGCACAAAGGTCCAGAAGAGGGCAATATCTCTCGGGGCCGCTAGATGACGCTGCAGCATTGCACTTTCCTATTGTACGGTTTCTCCAGATTTTTGATTATATGATCTGGCCCCAGGTCCCAACTAGATCAGATAAACAGGGTTCTGCTGTAGTCTAAAAGTCAAGCCACAACCATAGTAATACACTAAGAGTTCACAGCTTTACACACACATTTGCAGATATTGGTCATCTTCCGGCATTCAGCTGAGGAACTGGCAAGAACAATTAGAATTTGTAATTTTGTTTGGAAGTTTGGCTCCTTGAACCTGCATTGTGGACACAGAACACTTTAAATTACAGTATAGCTGAATTACTGAACCACTGTGCAGTCACCTAATCACCACTGCCTCTATTCTTCAGTACACTAAACACTGTTTTCCTGATTTTCTACAAATTATAAATACTGAAAAGGCAGAGAACAAATTATAAAGAAAAGTAACATTTATCTTGTGGAAATAAGTTTTCTTTAAGGAATGTAATTGTTTAAAGTATTCCCTCCAATATTACAGAGGAAAAGAAGATTCAATATTGAATGGAAAAGAAAGTTTGTCTGAATTGTGTATTTATGGCAAACATACCTACAAGTTAACTATGAAATTTTAGACTAAATGTGCCAGCTAACATTCTACAGCAGAACAAATTTACAATGGATCAGTATATTAAGTATCCTGGAATGTTTTGTTTCCTGGTCTTGAATATTCAAGTCACCTGCTTCCACACTGGAGAGTAAAAGTGTACTCTGTGTATTTCCTACAGCAATGATTTCCACAAACCAGGATGTCATCCATGCTGACTACCTCAGCACTGAAGAATCATGTTTACCCAAATCATCTATTAATCATCCTTTTGTTTTACTAAAAGCAAAGTAGTGAAGTGGTAGTAGAAGTAGCTGATCTACAAGTACAATTATGATGTTCAGGGTTTAAAACAGCTACAGCAGGACTTTGAAACTCTGACATGGTGGACTAGTCATATGGTTGAAACTCTAAAGAGTTTTGCAATACACCATATAGAGGATACTACGTAAAAAGTAAACAATGTGATGGGATAGATTCCAGATATCTTAGTTTACAGACTTCATCAGGATTAAAGATGTCTTAGGTAAGATGGTGATATCAGTCTGCGGGGCATAACTTTTTAAAATGGTTTTAACTGGTGGACAAACATTCTCAAGCCATTTTTTCCAAGTTAGATGCTTTTCCACACTGACCAGCACAACCATCTTACCTGAAACTAAGCTCAAGATGAGAAGGTGGAAGAGATTCTGAATCCACATCCCAATGAAGCCTGTAAACTGAGATACTCAGATCCAGGCTCCGTTCTTGAAGACCATTTCAGAACATGACCAGATTCCTAATGAGGCTGGAGGCTTCTCCTCTCTAGAAGACTTATGTGGGGGGGGGAGGGTGGGAGAGAGACAGAAGAGCACTGCTCTTAAAAACAGATCCAATAGACTAAGTCTTATTTGAAGCACTACTTTAAAAAAAAGCAATACGGTTTTTCCTTTCTGCCTTTAAAGCACCAGAGCAAACAATCAATATCACTGGGGAGAGGCCAGAGTGTGGTGGCTCTGGGGCCCCAGCTGCACTGATGGCTGGAAGGTGGCTACCGTCTGCAAGGCTTATGCTGGCGAAGGGACATGACCCAGCAGCCCTAACCCTGGCTAACAAGGCGCTGTCACAGCCACAGCTAGAGACACAAAGGGGCAGGACTTCAAACCCGGGGCTCTCCGCATCCCAGGACCGGGGAGGGGGGCTGCAGCGAGCTTCCTGCAGAACCCTCCCTGACAGGTGAGAAGGGCTGAAAGTGGGGGGGGGCGGGATGAGGTAGGCCAGGGCCGGGGGGGGACCGGCTCCGATGGGGGGGGCGAGGTAGGCCAGGGCCGGTGGGGGGGAACCGGCTCCGACGGGGGGGGCGGGGGCGGGGTAGGCCAGGGCCGGGGGGGGACCGGCTCCGGGGGAGGGGGCGGGGGCGGGGTAGGCCAGGGCCGGGGGGGGGACCGGCTCCGGGGGGGGGGGCGGGGGCGGGGTAGGCCAGGGCCGGGGGGGGGACCGGCTCCGGGAGGGGGGGGGGCGGGGGCGGGGTAGGCCAGGGCCGGGGGGGGGGACCGGCTCCGGGAGGGGGGGGGCGGGGTAGGCCAGGGCCGGGGGGGGGACCGGCTCCGGGAGGGGGGCGGGGAGGCAGGGCGGGGGGGGACCGGCTCCGGGAGGGGGGGCGGGGTAGGCCAGGGCCGGGGGGGGGGGACCGGCTCCGGGAGGGGGGCGGGGTAGGCCAGGGCCGGGGGGGGGGGGACCGGCTCCGGGAGGGGGGGGCGGGGTAGGCCAGGGCCGGGGAGGGGGACCGGCTCCGGGAGAGGGGGGCGGGGTAGGCCAGGGCCGGGGAGGGGGACCGGCTCCGGGAGGGGGGGGGCGGGGTAGGCCAGGGCCGGGGAGGGGACCGGCTCCGGGGGGGGGGGGGCGGGGTAGGCCAGGGCCGGGGAGGGGGGACCGGCTCCGGGAGGGGGGGGGCGGGGTAGGCCAGGGCCGGGGGGGGGGACCGGCTCCGGGAGGGGGGGGCGGGGTAGGCCAGGGCCGGGTGGGGGGACCGGCTCCGGGAAGGGGGGGACCGGCTCCGGGAGGGGGGGCGGGGTAGGCCAGGGCCGGGGAGGGGACCGGCTCCGGGAAGGGGGGGACCGGCTCCGGGAGGGGGTAGGCCAGGGCCGGGATCGGGCTGAAGGGAGGCCAGGGCCAAGAAGCCCCGGGGGCGGGGAGGGGCCTGAGGGAGGCCGGGGGGAAGCGGGCGGCTCCAGGGATCCTGAGGGGAGCCCGGGGGCGGCTGAGGGAGGCCGGACATGCCCCACGGCGGGCCGGGGTCCCCCGGCTGAGGGAGGGTGCGGCGGGGGCCGGGGGGTCCCTGGCCGGGGCCGGGGCCGGCTCTGTACCTCCTGCGGCAGCGGGCGGCCCCGGCTTTCGCTCTCCCCCGGCTCCTCACAGCGCAGCCGCCGCCGGCCCCGGCGACGTTGCAGGTTTGCAAAGCATGCTGGGAACGGGGACGGGGTTAACCCCCTCGGGCCCGGCCTGCGGGCGGGGGGGGGCGGGCCGCACCGGAGGGGCGCGCGCAGACAGGGACGCCCAGGCAAAGGCGGGAGGAAGAGGGAGACAGACAGCGATGGGCGGACGGAGAGACACGGGCTCAGAGAGGGACACTCAAACACAGACAGACACCCAGGGAGAGTGAGGGGGACCAGACAGCACGCGTGAGAAAGCGGGGGGGCTAATAGGCACCTATGTAAGATATGCACCCCACCTATCTGGACGGTCCCTATAAAATGGGGAGATCCGGTCACCCTAAGGGAGACACAGGAACAGACCCCGCTGGAGCAGAGACCATGGTCCCGGCTACATTGCGCCGGGTTGTGGGCCCGGTTCCGGAACGGGCTCTGAACTCGCTGCGGCTCCTCCTCGCTCCCCTCGCCCCGGGCGGGATTGCAGGGTCCGGCCTCCGGGGCATCCCGGCCCGGCAGCGAATAGTCTGAAGCCACACAGCTTATTTTACCGGAGGTGTGAAGGTGATTTCCATCCATTGTCACCCCCAAATCCTCTCCAAAAGTGATGACGTAGCTGGCTGATGACATGAGGAAAGCGGCTGGCATTGATTTGTAAAGGTCGGAGCCAAATGTTGAGAGCCCGTTTACACTATCCCTCATTTCTTTTTAAGCGGGGACTTTAGACCCTTCAGAGCAGGCCTTTAACATTTACATTTGAAACCCAGAGAGACAAGCTGCTGGTCCTTTCCAGTGCAATGCCTGTTCCGGCCATGGTACTTAATAAGCCGTCTGTTGTCCTGCCAGAAGATTAACAAGAATAACTCTCATGACTATTAACGGTGGCTACATGCATAACCCCTCCCTTACATCAACAAGAAGATAATGGACCCTGAATAGGTGTACAATGGAGGTGTGCAGTGAAACATAAAGTAAATTCCACCCCCACAATTTGCTTTTCCAGTTAAGGACAAAGTGACCTCTTCTGATAAGTGCCATTATTTTCTGGTAACATGAACTAATGTGAAATGAGGTTCCCATTATATACACGCTATATGAGAATCTAATTAGAGTATTCATCATACTATTTCTGTAATTGGTACAGGGCCCAGTGATTGGTATCAGCATTGATTCTGCAGTGTGTCTGACAGGGCTTGTGTTGCATATTCAATACTTTATGCTTGCAGCCTGGAGGGAGCACTGTTGTGCAACATTTTTCATATGTCATGGATGATGCAGAACTGGGATATTAACACTGTCTCTATTCTTGGTTCATTTACCAAACATGATCATACACACACTGTCTGGGCTGCAGAATCTTCCAGTGGCAGCCCTGGCTGGATGGATCAAAATTGCCACTAATAACCTGGAGCATGTTAATGCATTCCCTGCTCTTTCACAGAAGATACGATTTATGAATTGCATGGAACAATAAATAGTTTTGGATGCTTACATTTGCACTATGGTAGCAATATTGCAACCCTTCCTAGTATGGAAAAAGTCTTCACTAACATGATAAATCAGAAGTAGGAGTAAGTACTTGTGTAAGTGAGAGTTACAGGATCAGGCCCATTCATTCAGTGGGAATGAGACAAAGCCAGCAAAGTCTCTCTTACACAGCATACAAATGAATCAATGCAGTTCCCTAGCAAGTCTTCATTGCTCTGTTCCTGGAATCTGGGACAGGTACATAACCCCAATAAGGCCATCTCTGAAATGGAGACAGATATCTGTAGTGTGTTAGTATGAAAACATTAAAAATATTAACATGTAGGATTCAGAAAAAATGTCCTAAATTATATCTTCCCCCTTTCCTTGGTTGATTGGCTATTGGTTGGACTGCCAATATGAAACACTGTTAGCCATAGTTTTTTATCATCATGCCTAATTTCAGATACAGTAAAATGTGAGGACAAGGGACAAACTGTAAGATAGAAGGAGATATAAGGAAAATGCACTCCTTTTGGAAGATTTTTCATACTAGTTTTGATGGGTCTTTTCTCTCTTTAATTTCCCTTGGCATTCAAGTTTTGCATTGTCATTAATTATAACTTATGCAGCAATAATAATCAAATCATAATAACAGAACGTGGCCCTTTTTTAGCTCCCTGTATGTCTTCAATAGCCTCCAAATACTACTGGTAGGAAATATGATGAGACCTGGAGCTCTTTTTGGTCTTCTCTGCACCCTATGATTTCCTAATAGCATTTCTTAGAAATAAAACTTCAGTCCCTCTCCTACCCCATGATCGGTAACTAGCTGCTCATTTACACCAGATTGCCCAGCTTCCGGGAAGAAGATACCATTTTCCCTTAGAAAGCATTACACAGTGACTTGTCCCAAAATAAATACATGAATTACAGTGTTTTTGTCTGTGTTTTGAACAGTGCTGAGTTTGTTATTGGCACTTAATGCTCTCGCTAATGATAGTAAGCACTTTTGGCCCTGATCCTGCAAAGACTTAATAATATGGTTAACTTTATACACTTCAGTGATCCCAATTATTTTACTGGGATTACTCATGTGTGTAAGTCTTTGCAGGAATGGGACCGTAGGCGTTTAATGTTAATTATATTACATGAGAGAAAATAACAGAGATAAACTATGTTAAATGTTATCTTCCATCTGAAGAAGCCTCAGTAGATCTATTAATTATTATTCCATTATTTAATGTTTGCACATAGTGCCATACATATGCACAGTGCCTTACAGATTTTGTAAAGTAAGATAATTAAATTACAGAGCATGTTGTCACTGAAGTTACAGCAGAAATCTCACGTGCCTTTAATAGAATAACTACTTCTCTCTGATTGTACTATATAGCTTGCCTTGTCACTCCCTCTAGTCTCAAATACTTGCTTAGAGATGCTGCCAGCTTGTTGAAAATCACTACCTAGGGTTGTATCCACACTTGCAAAATCTGGACCCATAATTATCGACTTGTGCAGCCTACCAGTGATAGCAACAGCAGAAGCTGTAGTGTAGACAAGGCTCTGGCATTTAAAACACAAGAAGCTTATCTACTTTACAGATTCCACATTGCTACTACCAGTGGGGAATTACTTGTCCTGTTTTACTTAGTGTATACAGGGGGTAGGAGAATAATCATCTCTTCTTGAACACCTGTTTGAATAGTTTCAGGAAATTCATTGGTGACTCAGAGTCACTATCCGGCTAGTCATATTCCTGTCTCCATTCACAACACAACCCAGGACTGTTATCTTTTAATGCGTGTGTTTATCCTACTGTTCAAGTTATTCGGACATCCAGACCTTTATCTTTCTCCAATGACACTTTCTGACAGGATCAGCAGAAATTTTAGGAGGGATTAGCACTTGGATAGTCCCATTGGTCTGAAGGTTAG